TTTTTTTTTTTTTTTTTTTTTTAAAAGAAAACCCACATTTTTCTCCAAGCGATCAAAAGGAGTGCCTGGAAAGCTCAAGCAGAAAGCTCAGCCTCTTAACGTTGGCTCCACAGCGCACCGTTAACTGGGATTAAGAAAGTCAACTAATGCTTCCCAGCACCAGGATTTGCACAGCACGGAGCCTCCCGAGGCAGAGAACCACGACGGCAGATTCCGCAGGATCTCCGGGCGGCAGCCACCTCTCCCCACCGATGCCGTTTCACCCCGGATTCGTGTGCATCCCGCTTCAGGCAATCGGCTGGGAATCCGCCGTGCCTTCCCCCCACGGCCCCTGAGCGGGGCTGGATTTGGGAGAGCCTTTCCCATGCAGGTGGAGCGGCAGCCCGGGGCTCCCAGCAGATTCCCGGGGCTCCCAGCCCACCCCCCGGCTGACCAGCGGATGATCCAGCGCGTTTCCCCAGGAGAGGCGAGCGGGGGGAACCGGGGCCAGGACACGAGGTACCTGTATCGTTTTTGATTCGTATTTGTGGATGAATGAATGCTGTAAATATGAGCCAAGAAGATTTAAAAGAAAGTCACTGAGCCATACAAGTGAATTAATTTGCTTTTAGACAAAATGCGGCTGGTTTTCAGCCTCTTGCAAGCAGGAACATTATTCCTTTCCTATGCCAAAGACTGACTGCGTTTGCTCTCCTGCTTTACGTCTACCGTGGAGGAAATTTAAGCAAGAACATGTATAGTGAATTGCTGAATTCAACCAGTGCCACCGAAGCTCACCTGATCATTCAGACCAACACGCCCTACCTGAGCGGCACACCGAGACCCGTGAGCTCCTCCGCCTTTTACCTGTCGACAGCCAGGGTGTTAAAAGAAGGGGAAATAAATAAGCCAGACCTGGTGACTTACATCATTCTGTTTTTCTTTCTGCTCTTGACCGTGGCACTCATCGTGCTCTTCATAAACTGCCAGCTGAAAAATTCTTTTTTTGCCACTCTCCCTTACGACAGATCGCTGCGAGAGGCCAGGAGCCCGTGGAGGACACAGGCGGTCTGACACGAGGGAGAAACTCTGCCCGGGCACAGCGGCCGGCGCCAGGAGCCCTGGGCAGTCAGGAGTTATCTCCCTAGGTCAGTGCACGGATTTGACCCTCTTTAGAGAAATCAGCCGCCATCGCAGGAAAAGGTTGCTGAAAGATATGCTGCCTGCAAACCGGGGTGGCTGTAAATAAAAAAGCTCGGTTGTGAACTGAAGAGAGAATGCTTTAGCAAATTTATACAGTTTTGTGCAAAAAAAATCGCCCCGTGGTTCCAGATGAAGCTCGGTACGTATGCAAATGTCATCATCCACCCATTCAGCAGAGACACAAGGATGTCTGCGTTAACAGCAATCTCCGATTTGGGCATCTGCTGGAGCTTGGTACCCGCGTTTATGAAGCCATAGCATCAAATGTAAAAACCACAGCCTGTCTACCGACCGGCTCCACGCCGAGGGTAGGAGTTCACTCGCCAGACCCGTCTCTCCCCCGACTGCTGCCGAAGCTGCGTGGTAACGCCGCGGGAGTCCTGCCAGGCAGGGGGAGAAAACTAAAAATGTTTATCGAGGCTTCTGACTGTCATTCTGTTAAGGGTGGGTTTGATGGTTTTCTGCATCGCCGAACAGGTTTTAAGTTACCGGTTACTGTGAGACACTGAATACCCAAGGAATCGGTTTTCAACTTTTCTTAAGCTACAAAGGAAGTTATTCGCCCATGGCACGACACCAAAATAATGAGGATGGGGAGAAGGAAGGAGAGAAAATAAGTTATCATTAATAGTAGGTAAACTAACGTAGGGGGAGAGCGGGGTGCTCCGAGTTCAGCGCAGACAGTTGGTAACTTCGGAAAGCCAGAAAGCAGAGTTTGACAGGAGCAGTGGCTTTAATGCACAATATCCCCATTCCTTGCCCTTTGCATCAGCCCAGCCGGCCGCGTGCTTTATGGCAACAGTGGGATCCAACACGCGGCACTGGCAAAGCACACCCGTTCAAATCGCTCTCTCCCCTTGCTCTCAAAGCTTCTGCTTTCCCTCGTTAGCTGGTTTACAGATGCGGATTTTTAAGAAACTTGCAGTTGCAGCACAATTCCAGATCCGCCTGCACCAAGCCCAGCACGGTATTTCTGTCTCCCACAAACAGTGGGCAAAGGGCCCTTTTTTTGTTTGTTTTTTTTTTAACCCCAGCAGCTCAACATAGGAGCGAACTGCAGCTCTCCAGAAACACAGAGCCCTAAACCCTTATCTTTGCTGCGGTTCCTGCCCGTGGATCACCTAGCAGAGGAATGGGGTTCAAGAGGTGCCGGGTGCTGTGCCCCTAAATCCGTCCTTCCTAGGCAGAGTACAGCAGACGGGCTGTCTGTATATATGCACGTGACTTATTTAATCCGAATTAAGAGATTTTTACAATGCAATTACACACATACAGGCTCACACTCAAACACACAGATAAAACCAGTATACGTGGGAACCTGTTTGCAAGCTTCCCCCCCCTCCCCCCCCCAGATTGCAGTTGATAGCACTTCCATGTCACTGTCTCGGTTACCATGTTTTATTCTGCTCAAGTAAGTTAAACTACTACATAACAAGCTTAAATATTTTATCCGTCGACAGGTGACCAATTTTTATCTCCTCTGAACCAAATTTAACTGGTGTAATTCCAAGCAATTACTCTAATGTAGAAAGCGAGAATAAATTCAAGTGTGTTTATCTCAGCCCTTTTTGAATAAATGGAGTTTTATCAAACCAGGCATTTCTTATTTATTTTTGAGTAGCAACAGCTTGTTTTCAGCTATCAGCCGTAATGAGTTTGGTCTAAGAATTTCTGCTGGCAAAAGCCTCAGAGCCTGATGAAGCACCCGTACCCTCCGGTACCGTATCAGACCCATATCGGGTATCAGAGCCTGATAAAGCACATGTACCCTACGGTACTTTAAATAAAGCTTCAGGAATAACCCTGGAATAATCCTGTTTCTCCCCACAGCCCAATAGTTGGAGTAATACCCCAGCAGAACCTGTCAGGCGTAGAGTGCCAACTGATTTACTGGGAAAGCTTTTATGCATGCCCTGCATTGCTCTTGTCGATACCCAGAACCACTTCCATTGCAGAAAAAGATTCCATTAATGCCATTTTAACCAACGGATGAAAGGTTTGTATAGAAAACATAAGATATATTCTCTTTCACCAGGCCCAACATTCAGGTTGACCATAAAATCCACTTCCCAACCACGGGCACGCCAGGAGAGGGACCAGCAGGCATTTATTCATCTGTAACTGGTTTATTAGGTGCGTGACACAGGCGGGGTCCCAAACGTATGCTCCATCCCTTCCCCTCACCTCCTGCCCTGGCACACCACCACCATTCGCTACGTCTTTACAGCAAACCCCACTTTCCCAACGAGCCTTTCCAAAACGCCTCTCGGCACCCGCAGCCCTGCAGCAGCCTCCTGCCCCACGGCTTCGCTTCAAGGCAGACTGGGGGCCGATAAGCAAAAAGAGGCAGGACAAGTGAAACGCCAGAAATCTGGGGCACGATGCTGAGAGGAGTGGGGTGGCCCCAGTTCAGAGAGGCTCTTAATTATATGCTTTGCTTTCGAAGGATGGGTAGCGCCCGTAACGCTCTGGAGAGCACCCATGCATGTCAAACGGACGCCTACGTGCTCTGCTGACTCAGGACCTGAGTGATAAAGAAGGTTTTAACTCATCTCCCTCTGGGCCAGGGAAACAACTCATCACTTCCACCTGGAAGCAGTGAGACGTTTTGCATCTGATGCCACCCTTCCAGTGGATTATTATTATTACTACTGTTGTTGTTGTATTTCAGTCTGTTGGCTTTAATCTCTGAGTCCAGGCTGGTTTTGAACCACAGACTGTGCCCACGGGGAGTTTGCTGCAGTGCTGGTACCAGGGAACCAAGGAGGAGCCGCCAGCACGATGCTGCTCTGCAAGAGCACCCCAAAACTGGGAGCTCGCTCATCCTGTTGCTCTGCCTCAACACCAGGTTTGTTAACATTTGGGGGATCCAGCAGGACTCCTCTTCCTTCTCGCGTTTCCTACCCATAGGTGGGCCATGGTGGGCTTTTCTACAGGCATTCTCCCTCCCGCATTGCCTTTTCCCCTAAGCAAAAACCAGGAGCTGAGCGTTTCCTACACCCCATGCCACATGGCCATCGCAACCGATGCCTGGAAAGGACTCGTCTGCAGGGCTTGCAAGTCTGTCAAACTACACAGCAAGGCAAAAGGCAAAGCATGCATCCCAGAAGCTAAATATTTCACATCTGCTTCACATCTGGGATGCCTCAGGCTGGTATACGCCCTAGTGCCGCACGACAAAGCGGAAAGCAAAGCTGCATTGTATGATCACGCTTTCCAAACCGGTGTCAAACCACAAAAGCCACAGCAATTTGTAACTGCATTTGCTCTAATGAGTTTTCTTCCAGGAGCATTTTCGAAAGAAATGAAAAGCCCTTATCCCAGGACACCACTTCAAAACAGGAATCACCAAGACGAAGGCTCTGCCGCAACTCAGCTTCCATTAAGGAAAGAGAAAAGGGCAAGGACTTACGTGAAGCCATGTGTGAACGCTGGCAAGAGCGAGGGTTTAGGTAAACTCCTCCTGACTGTTTTCTGCCCTTCCAAACTTAGAGAGCGATTTCGAAGAATGGCTGAAGAGGCTGAGTAGGGTCCAAGCTTCGATTTCCTAGCAACTGGTGGCTGCCCTGACGCACACGGGAGCACGTTGCCAGACCCGATCCCAGCAGATGTCTTGGGCAAGCGGTTGGGTTCTGCTCTGCCGATGCAGTGTCCCTCCCTCAACGCTGCTCTGACCACGATCCTCGTCCTCCTAAATGTTTTGAGAGTCAGGAAGTTTAGCCACCCGGCATTCGGAACATTTAAAACACCCACAGATGCATCAGACTGGGAAGATGAAAGGAAGATCCCACCGGATTGTGCTCACAGCCCATTTGGCTTCAGGGGGTTGTTTCTGTTGAGCCTTAACTCCCAGGACCCCGAGCAAATACAGGAACTGCAGGTATAAGCAAAGAAGACTGGTTCAAATCCATTAATCCATACAGAAGGTCTCCCGGGCAGCAAGTTACACACAGCATCACCTCTGTGCGAGTGTTTTTCCTCCTCTCCCCCTCACTTTTGCCCTCTGGGAATATGAAATTCCTCCCCCTGCAGGGCTCAGCTTTTGCCTACAGCACCTTCAGTCAATGATCTGCATGGACACAGCCTGTTCGCTCCTGAACTTTTGGGTTTAACATACCATATTTACCTCTGATTTTTTTTTGTTTTTACAGGCCACTTAAGGAGGATTCCTTCTATCAGGATCTGTTCACCAGAGACCTGAAGTCTCACAGGTCTCAGGAAAACGAGTCTCCATTTGGCTCTTACTGAAAAGAGCCAATTTTGTCTATTTTGCGTTGTCTCTCAAATTCCTCCAACCCAGCTCTGAAGTCAGAATCACCCACACAGCTCAGAACTTTCGAGAGGCTCCTGAGTTTGCTGACAGCGATTTCTATATCCGAGAGACTTCAGAAAATGAGATTTCAGAGGAGTGACTGGATTACACAGCACTTCTTATTTAGCCCTGGAAATAAGGGTTGTTCACAATAGCTGATGTACAGCTTCAAAAAGGGAATGGAAAAAGGGTATTTATAAAGAACAAAATAAACCTGGCCTTAGAACAAATGAGCTGTTAATTATTTTCTTCTTGTCTTAAGGAAAAAAGGAGTCGCCCTGCAAGGAGCAGGAACACAGAAAGGCTGGAGATGACCCAACAGCTCCCACGCCCCACAACCTCACCCCCAAGCCCTCCACCTTGCATCTCCATGGGAGTGAAGTAGTTTTACAGGGTTTGCCTTTTGGGGGGCAGGGATAGTAGGCTTATTTCTGAACATGAGTTTGAATTCTATTCTCTTTTACAAGTCTTTAGACCTGAAAAAATTGGTATTCCACATTCGTTTGCTGACACATGTAAAAACTACCTACCGTTTTGCCCATACGAGATTTTCTCCTTG